TCTAAAATTTCTTAGTTTCATATTGTCATTAATTTATATGAGATACATACTAAATTTAAACTCATTTGTCATCTATAAACCACTATTCCGAGAGCTTGTTATGACTTATTTAGTTAAGTATCTAAAGGGTACATGCTCTATAATTTAAATATAATTATCTTCTTACCACACCCTCACCTTATCTAATCAAGTTATTCTAGCAAAATGTAGTCATTTGAATCTGAATTAATTATATGATAGATCCTCTAAGCTTTAGATAATTAATTATCACAGTCATATTCTAATTATTTAACAATCTCATAGTTTAAAGCATTTAATTTAAATAGCAATGATATAATTTGAAATAATGAGTAAGGGATTTTTTAACCCACTCTGAATGAAACAATTATGTATATATTAATGAATGAATTTCCCAGATACTATCTTTGGTTCTTCCACCAATAATTTGGGCTTTTACCTAACAAATTTAACTTGAATTTTAAAAGCAAGGCTTGCATTTCTTCTCCTTCTTTTTGTTCTTCTTCTATGATGTGTGGAATTCTTTGGGTTTTGGAATTCTAAAGATGGGACTCAATTCTTCTGTCTTCAGAGTCTTTTGCCTGGGACTACTCTTCATTTTTTTTTTACTATTGAGGCTGCCCCTTTTTTATGTTGGCGTCTCTAGCATTTTTTTTTTCTCGTTTTTAGTTCACTCGTTTTTTTTGCCTCTATTTTTTCCCTATTCACGTTTGACTTCTGGTTTGCGGTGGGGAAGAAAGAGAAGTACAGATTGAGCAGAAGAGTGAGAGGTTATTGGACTCGAAAAGCAACAACTGCAGACATTATTTCCCTGCCCCATCCAGCGTCCAGCGGCAATTACAGCCTGCTGCACAGTCGTCTGCGTCATCGTCTGGCGCGATCTTTAGTCTCGTTTCTGCTCTGCCCCTCCCCCCCCCTCTCTACTTTATCACTCCCTGTTTTCTTCTGAGCACATCTGCAACGCCCTCGGATCGAGTGCAACAAGTTCCCTGTGCCCCCTTCCCTTGCATTTCCATCTCTACATGTTTTTTGTTCTTCTTTTTTATTAATCAATTACAGCAGCGCCTGGATCCGAGTTTTTGGATTTTAAAGCTCGTAACGATGCTGTAAAAATCGATTTAATAATTCTGTAGGCTTTTAGCCAGAATTCTTGACCAATTTTAGACATAAATAAATGTTGAGAAAGGATGCTGATGGAGCTTGGTGCCTGAGAACTTTTTAAGAAGTTTGCATCCATAAAACTTTAAATTTACATTCAAATTCCCTCACCTTGAATACATCACATCTCCTTTTTCACTTTAAGTGAGCTGTAAAATTCTTAGTTTCCCATTTCCGGCAGCATTTTCCGGCTGCCTTTAAAGCTTTTCTCTCTTTAAATACGTTTTCAATGCACTTTCCGGCCTGAATTTGTGAATTTTATTTATGCAACAGCATCATCACCAACGACACAGTCATGAAATATTCATAATCGTTTAATTTAATCAAATTGCCCAATAAACCGATTTAACAAAGAATTAAATTGAAGCATTTCCTCGGCTTTAAAATGGCAAATAAACCACAATTGCTAACCTGGCTAAAATGCAAAACAAGGGAAAGTAAACCAGGCCAGTGGGGATAAGAAATTGTAGATTATATTATTATTAAATATATCTTAATATCCTCCCATAAACTAATTTACTTCATTCTTAATCCTAAAGGCTTGGAAAACTTAAATATTTTGAGACTTAAAGAAGGAAGGAAACTAATTTCGGAAAGTCAACGTTTTTATACCCTTGAATTAAAGAATCGTATCGAAAATCAATCATAAGAAAGCTTAAAATATTTACATTCTTTGGATCGATATATATTATTTTTATATATTACGTTTTTTGTACAAATGAAGGTTTAAAAATCTCATAACTAAGCCAAAAATGCATTAATTTTAATTCGGACTGCTTTCCTATGTTAGTTTTTAGGAGGTTAACAAAGCTGCATACTCAGTTTAAAACCTAAAATTTTTGCCATTTTTCGGAAATTTTAATGATGTAACCCCTTATCATTTTTTAAAAAAATCGACAAAAATTTTAAAAATTTATTTTCTTTAAAATATAGCTAGATCGACTCGCCTTTAAATGCTGATCAAGAATATATATGATTTATGGGGTCGGAAATGACTCCTTCACTGCATTACAAGCTTCTGACTGAAATTATAATACCCTGTAAGGGTATAAAAACTACAAGCGTATTTGTGTATTTTGTTAATCATTTGATTAGCTTTTCGAACTTATTGACTTGGGCAAAAGGAAAGATAAAAAACACAGCAAAATACATAAACTTATTGTTTTTAATAGCAAATCAAGCGAAACTGAGGTGCTATCTGCGTGTGTGTGTGTGTGTAGTAGTAGTAGTAGGTGTGTGTAAGATACAATACGTACCAAACACACAAAAAAAAACAAAGTAAAACAGCTCAAAAAAGCAAAAACAAAAAGCAAACTCATGAGCAATGGACAGACAGTCGACCAATTGAGCTAGAAAGAGGAGATAATCAAGAGCAAACAACGAGAAAGGGGGGTGGGTAAGGGGGAGGGGTGGGGGTAGGGGTGAGGCGGCCGTCACCGGTGGAGTGACGCCAGCACAATACGAGAAGAATTTCACATTTGTTCGCCGCTGTCACTCACAAAATATTGATGGCCGACGGAGCGAGAACGAACGAGGCAAATCACACACAAATACAAACATGCACACAGCAGAAAAGCAAAAAAGAAACAAAATAAAAAGAAACCGAAGAAAGAAAACAACAAGAAGAGCAACAAACGCACACACCTTCTCAATCGCCAGCGTCAAAGCTAGCAGCGCTGTCGCCCCCGCGACGTTGGCAGAGGCAGCGGTAGTGGCAGTGGCAGTGTCAAAGACAAATGCCCGAATCATATTGCTCGCTCGCTTCCACCCCCTTCTAGGACCTCTCTCTCCCTTCCACTTGTGCGGTCTGGTCCGAAGCCAGCAATGGCAAAGCCCAACTTGAGGAAGAACAAGACAAAGACCTAAAATTTTACAGTGCAACGTCTGTTTTGAGACGATTGTGTAATGTCTTAATGGGTCACAACTAAGTTAAATTGTAAAAACTCAATCATGGGGTAAAACTAAAATAATAACAAAGGAACTTTGTTAATTCTTTAGTTTTTATTTCGTCCCCCTTAGTCAAACTCCACTGTAAACGCTAAGGCGCTGTGGCTATTTGTTTTATTTCTTGCTTGTTATAAATTGCAAACGCTCATTCGCAGACTCCCCCCACCCTTTTTATTCTTTATGCCATCCCCCTGTCACCCCCTCTCCTGATAAGAGCGCACATCTGTCGCCTGCCGATGCGTGACAACAGAAGAAAAAAGAAAAGAAAAAAAAAAAGCACCGAGAGACGAGGAAAAGACAGAAAGAAAGGCAGCTGAAGGCGGAAAGAAGAGTGCGCAATTACAGTTATTAGCGAACAGAGAGTGGGCTCCACCTTAGCGGGCTAAACGTTGCCTCATTAAAGTGATTAATACAGCTAAAATAATCATATAACAACAGCAGCGAGTGAGGAAAGGAGTGCAATGCAAAAACTGGGCAATTATCAAACCACGGTGCGTAGCAACAACAAAAGCAACAAAAGAAAAATAGCCAAAGCGGCGACCATTCATCTGTCTGCTTGTCAAGCGCGCCTCTCTCGCGCTCTCTCTCTCTCTCTCACTCCCCATCCCCCATCCCTGTCGCACTCATTTGCTCTGGCTGTTTCATTTCCACTTGTAACACGGTCCGTCGCTTGCGGTTCTCGCGCTCTTTGCCCTCACCGCTCATTCGCCGCGAAATCACAAACACAGACGGACGCTTAAATCGGCGCTTGTAAATATTTTTGTTAATTGTACATTTTAAATCGGGAAAAAAATGCATTAGCCGTGTGTAAACAAAAAGTGCTGTCTGATGCTGCCCTCAGCGAAAGTAATAACAAAAAAACAAAGCCATTTGGCAAGCTGTTTAAAAGCAGCAGACGGTTCGTCGCTTTAAACGGCATAAAGCTGTTCACAAAATTCATGAATGAACTTGTAAAAGTGCTTAAAACGCTCGTTTGGGGAGCACGAAAAAAAAAACTGTGCAAAATGCTGTGAACGGAGTTCTTTTTCTTTTTTTTTTCGCCTTGTGTATGCATTGCTTTTCGCAGTCGTCGCCGTCGTCGCAGCTGCAGTCTGCTTACCAGTGTGTGCGTGTGTGTGCCTTGGCTTTTCGTCAGCTTTGCTTGGTTTTCTCCAGTTTTCATATGAAATTACAAGGAAATTAAATAATTTGCTTCATAACTTGCAAAATGCAGGATTTCCTGTTTTATTGTTAACAAAATGCAATATTGTGCGTAAATTTGTATTCGCCGTAAAATTTGTTTGAACTGCGCGTTGAATTCGCCGCTCTGCCGCCGAGATGCAGGTGTAGTGGTGAGCTCGGCTCTCTTTTCGCTCTGGCACCGCCATTTGCCGCTCTCAGGCACACCAAGAGACTAAGAGCGAGAGAGAGAGAGAGAGATAGCTCGAACGAGCGGCTTCTGCTTCCGTTTTGTGGCGTGTAGTTTTTTAGTTTTGTTTTGCTTTTCATATTTCGGCCATTTCTGCTTTGTGCTCGAGTTTCGCCCAAGCGTTGCGGCATTGCCAACACAGAGAGCGGAGTAAAAGGAAGAACAGGAGTGAAAGAGAAGTGTCAAAACCGATTGATGAATTGTTTTTGTGTTGTGTTGGTTTTAATTCATTAATTAATTACAGTGGGGCTTGAATGAGTAGATAATCAATTAATTAATTAAAAATACTAAAGAAAGGTCATTAAGAAAAGTTGAAAATTCTTTATTTTAATTAATATATAATTTATTTAAATTATTGAAATACAAATTAATACATAATAAACACAGTGAAAATTATAATATAATTATCTTCAATTTCATTTTATTTTTCTTATTAATAATTTAGTTTTCTCTAACATTATTTTTGCAGACTCGCAAACGCATGTAACGCACACTCAACAACAGTTGGGGTTTGAAATTAAAGGGTACTTTTGAACATGAACAAAAATGCCGGCGATGGCAGCGGCAACGATGGCAAAAACTCCAACAAAAACTCGAATGCGGGCGGTGGCGCTGGAGCCGGGGGGCCACACGATCCCACTGGCCTCCTAGATGCAGCCTCTCTCTTTGGTAAGTTTTATACGTTTTATAATCCCCCAATATATACTAATTAATAACTATTAAATTGCAGCTTATTGGGGCCGTGATCCCACCGGAGCGGCAGCAGCTGCAGCGGCCTCCAATCCGCTGTTCAACTCACAGTTCAATGCCGCCGCCGCTGCAGGATTGGGTTTGCTACCAAATGCTGCAGGAGCTGCTGCCAACGATCGGTATTCGATGGCCGCTGCAGCTGCGGCGGCAGCGGGAGCACATCATCATCAGAACACCATGGCGGTGGCTGCTTCACAGGCGGCCAGTTTGGCCGGTTTGCATCCAGCAAGTGAGTAAAATGTCGGCACATTCCACCACCCAAAAAAAAGAACCATCGTGTGTGTGTTTAGTTGAGTTTTCAGCAGCAACAAATTAGCGCAGAGTGTTAAAGTCTCCGTCATTGCTAAATGCAAATTTTATCGCGAGTTCGATTCCCAGTTGGCCCAAATAAGTAGTTTGTTATCTTGAAAGTAATTTACTGTAATTTATATTTGATTTGGAGTTAAACAGCAAGTGTCCGGCTTACCCTGCTAGGCATTTGAAGAAATTGCTCCTATAAAAGCGCTTTTAGTGGCTTGCCATTAGCTTTACACTGGCCAAAAAAGCTAAATCTTAAGCTGGGGCTGTGAAAAATGGTCAAGCATAGTCTTTTTTGTATCAAGATTAAAGTAAAATACAGATTTTATAGGAAATATTTATTAAAATAACGTTTTCTAATGATATTTTCCATTGCAGGTTGGTGGTCAATGGCTCAATTAGCTGCCCAGGATTACTTCAGCCGCCTGCAGGCCTCTGGACTCTCGCCCTTTCCCCATCCCGATCTGGCTGCAGCCTTTGGCCCAGCTGCCATGGGCATGGGCGGTGCAGGAGCCGGGGGTTCCAGTGGCAGCGGCGGTGGAGGCTCTGGAGTGCTAGGAGCGGGTGGTGCTGGCGGTGCTAGTGGCAATGGTGGCGCATCATCCGGTTCCTCGGGCAGCAAGTCGAACAAGTCGCGCAAGGAGAAGCGAGCAGCCCAGCAGCAACAGCAGCAGCAACAGAGCCTGGCCAACAGCTTGAATGCTGCAGCAGCGGCAGCAGCAGCAGCTGCGGCCAATAATCCAGCGGCTGCCCTGGCCAGCATGCATGGCTTTGGTGTGGTGCCGGGCACCAGCATGCCGCAGTCGGTGAGCACGGGCAGCGGTTCGATATCCACCAACAGCGGGCACGGCGGTTACAAGGTGGGTTTTGCGGTTACTTTACCTTAAAAATGCTTAAAAATGTACTTAATTTCTATTCCTGTTCCTTTTTTAGAGCACGGCTAGCGCCTATGGCAAACCCTCGACCATGACGAGCAGCAGCAGCATGGGAAGTAATCCCGGCTCTGCCTACGATCCGGTGACTTTGCACAAGGAACTGCTGGCCATGCAGGCCGTGGCAGCCGCTGCCTCCTCTGGCTCGGGTTCGGGCAGTGGTTCTTCCTCCAAAAAATCCAGTGGCGGCGGCGGATCATCCTCGTCCTCCTCGCTGCATGGCCATGGCATGGGAATGGGCGGCAGCGGTGGCATAATGTCCAGCGGCGGCAAGGCTTCCACCAGTGTCAGTGCCAGCAATGCATCACTGGGCGGCATGCATCCCAGTTTATCCGGCAGCAATCCCCTGATGTCACCACACTCGGCCTCTTCCTCGTCGTCGAGCAAGGATCGGGACAAGAACAATCCATCGCTGAATGCCCTCAACTCGTTGTCACAGTTCGGAGCTCTGGGAATGACGCCCCAGCAGAGCATGCAGGCGGCAATGAATGCATTTGCGGCCAGTACTGGAGTAGCACCACCCTCGGCCACGATCACATCCTCGCCTCATTCCTCATCTTCCGCCTCGCAGCAGCAGCAGCAGCAGCAATTGGGTGGAAGTGGCTCGGGTTCTGGTGGCAAGGGATCCAGTGCTAAGGATTACATGATGGGGTACGTTAAGAAACATCTAAATCTTACTCTTTATTCTAATTTGTATATATTCCTTACCCATTAGCTCTGGCAGTGATCATCCCTCCTTGCTTGGAGTACGCCTGCCGCCAGATACGGAAATTATCAAGTATACGTCCTCCATCGTGGGACCCAAGATACCTGGTACTACATCGCGTGGTCGCAAAAAGACTATATCTGAAACAGAAACCACACAACAACAGAAACATCAACAACAACAACAACAACACCAACAACAAGCAGAACAACACTTACTCCAACAACAACAAGCACAAAAAGAGCTCGATAGCACCACAAATGCCATTTCCTCTTTGCTTGCATTTCCAGGTCTCAGTCCCGCCAAACGGGCTAGACTCGAAATGGAGTATGCAGCAATGGCTGCAGCCGCTCAGCAACAGCATCAGCAGGCGCAGCAGGCACAGCAGCAACATCATCACCACCAGCAACAACAGCAGCAGCAGCAGCAACACCAGCAAGCGCAGCAGCAGGCCCAGCTTCAGGGAATGCTTGGAGCAGCCGGAATCTCTGGTATGGCTGGACTTGCGGGATTACAAGGCGTCGGCGTGGGCAATCCCCTCGATCAGCTGAGCGTGAGCAAGGCCAGCTCCTCGACAACCACCAGTTCCAGTTCCAGTGCGGCAACAGGAAGCAATCTGCTCAACCAGAGCTCCTCCAGTGATCGCGTGGAGGTCATCAAACTGCCACCAACCATCACATCCAATGGCGCGTACAATCTATCCAGCAAGGGCAAGGAGATCCATGACCTAACCACCACCGATCATGCTCCCACATCCGGCGGTGTGAATCTCAGCCTGAAGGCCAACAATGCCAATGCCACTGTGCCCCCAGCGGGAGCTGTGGGCTCTGCCTCGAATCCCATTACCATCGATGACTTTGATGCACCGCTCAATCTATCCATGAAGCCGTCGGATAAGAGTACCAACGCCTCATCCGGTGGCGCAGGCGGCGTCGGAGCTTCATCCTCCTCTTCCAGTGCAGCGCTGGCTAGCCTGGCCAGTGACTACCAGGCGGTGGCCAGTGGCGGTCAAGGCGGTAACAGTCTGCAGAGCTTGAGTTCCATAACAGCGGCATTGGGCGGCACAGCTGGCGGCATGCCAGGTGGCTCCATTTCGGGCAGCGGTGGCACATCACCAGCTCCAGCTGGAGCTGGCACAGGATCAGGATCCGGTTCTGGCGGTGGCGGTTCATCCTCCTACAAGGAGGGACGCCCCAGAAATCTGGGACGTGGCGTATCCAAGCCCAAGAAGAACACGGTGGCCTCGCTGCTGGCTCAATCCCGAGCGGTGGGCCTCAAGCCCATGCTGGCCACGCAGCAGCTTCTGCAACAAGGAGCCGATATAGTAAGTTAATCCTGGAAAGAATCTTTAGAACTTTATTAATTTAATTTGTAATTTATTGCAGGAGAAAATCCGATTGGCTCTAAGCGAGGCGAATGCTCACATGGAAACCTCTACGGATTCGGAGAGTGTGGCTGCCGAAAGTGGACTCTCCGAATCGGAATCGGAGGATGCCAATATCCTGAATGTGGCAGAGCTAAGGGTGCCACTGGAACTAGGCTGGAAGCGTGAGACCGTGATTCGTGGATTGACCAAACAGGGACAAATCCGTGGCGAAGTCACCTACTATGCGCCGGGAGGCAGTACAGCGCCCTTGAAGAGCATTGGACAGGTTTTTGCTGTGAGTTTGTAGGGCGAAAATGATTATTAGATACAAAAAGAAACTCTTGGAACACCAGAACCCTTCTTTCACTCTCTCTCTCTCTACACTCTCTGAGATGTCCACTAATAAGTTTCTGTATATTCCCCTATAGATTCTGGAACAACAGCAGCCTTCGAATCTGAGTCGCGAGAACTTTAGCTTCTCGGCGCGAGCCATTGTTGGATCATTTTTGCAACCCGCACCACCGCCATATGCCAATGATGGCGAGTACATACGAATGACGGACGAGGATGTGGCCAAGCGGCTGGAGGATCTAAAGGTCTTTACCCGTCAAACCCTCAATGTGGAGCAGCGCATCGAGATAGCCAAGCAGCAGCAGGCGATGCGGGATGCCAAGAAGCTGCAAAAGGAGGAGCTGGCCAGGAACAAGGAGAAGGCGCGGCAGGAGAAGAATGCCAAGCTGGAGCAGCAGCGCAAGGAGAAGGAGCTGAAGAACCAGCAGGCCGTTGAGGTAGTTATTAGTAATTGAAGATAACTAATTAAGGGTACATATTAATTATCTAAATTTTCCAGGAACGCAAGAAGCGTCAGGAGGAATTGGATCGCCTCAAGCAGGAGGAATTGCTCAAGAAACAGCAGGTTAGTAGCTCATTTCATCTGCTTATTGTGCCAGAATCTCTGCATAATCTGCATAATTTATTGTATTTTATTTTGCTGCAAACTATAGGAGAAAGAGAAGCGTCGTCAGGAGGCCATTTTAGCTAAGGAACAGGTACAAAACGAACACAACAACAAGCCTTTAACTAAATCCTTGTCCTGTTGTCCGTTGATCTGAGATCGGAAGTCCATAATCCGAAATTCCTAATCCGTTCTTTATCCGTTTTGGCGGGGGCTTAATGCTTAATCCCAGAGCTCATAAATAATAGTTCAAGATGTAGTTTATATTAAGCGATCAAAGAATATTCCCTAGCTATCTAGTAAAAATATCTTTAAATCAATACTGTATTCATATTTTACGCGAATTTGTCTATATATAATTAGATTTTTGCGATATATGTAAGATAAATTGATATTCGAATTGATAAATTGGCACTTTTTAATTAGAGGATAGAAACGAATATAAATTTCGATATTATGATATTTTAACAGAACAGAAACCGTTTTCTAAACATACATTTATGAGCCTTGGATTTATGCTTTTTAAATTGAGATTTTTGCAAAGGTTTTTAATTTTCTAAATTAATTGGGTTGGCATTTATTATTAGAATCGAATGACATTTATACTTTATCTACTGATACTAGAGAAGGCAGGTAATGTTTTAGGCTTTAGTTTATAGAATTGCTGGGTTTCCAAATTTTAAATGAAATTAATAATTTATAGATATGATTTTGGTTTGAAGTTTAATTAAATCATGCTGCTTTTTAGGGTTCTTCAAGCTTCTTTTGCAATTGCTAGCTCAATATCATTACCTGCTCTCAGTATCAGTTAATTATTTCATTTACTTTATTAAATATAAACCATTTTCTTTCACCCAAAACTTTAGGAAATGCAAAAACAAAAGGAAATGCTATTAGCTGCTGAAATGGTAAGTAATTCAAGATTTTCCTCCATAAAATAAACAGAATTCCATTAAAATTTTCACATTTTTCACACCAAAAAGGAACGGGAGCGTCGTCGTCAGCACATGAACCTAATCCGAATGCTGGAGCTGCGTCGCAAGTTTGAGGAGCGCGAAAAGAAGAAGCATCAGCTGGTGCTGGACCGCCTGCTGCTACGTGAACGGCGCATGGCCGAACGGAAGCGGGATGCAGAGATCCTGCAGTTGATCCGTCGACCCAATGAGGACTCGGAACTGCCCCAGGAGTTGGTCATACCGGAGCTGGATCGCATCGCAGGCAACCGTCTGCCCGGGCAGGCTATGGCCGATCTGCTGATGGTCTTTGAGTTCCTCCACAACTTTGGCGAGACCCTGGGCTTTGACATGGAGTCACTGCCTTCCCTGCAGAATCTCCACGATGCTCTGATCAGTGACAGTTGTGCCGATGCCGAGGAGGAGCTGCTGTCCGTCATGACGCACCTGCTGGTGTGTGCCATTGAGGATCCGGGTGTACCGAATCCCGGAAGGCACACCACACTCCTTGGACAGTCATTGCGCAACGCTGACATTACAAACTCGAATGTATCGGAGATTTTAAGGATCTATCTGTATGCAACGGCCACGGGTGAAGTGCGTCAGATGCATGGCATCACTGTGGACCGAGAGCGGGAGCGACGAGTGCCCGATCATCATCAGCTAGACGCAGATTCGTCCACACATTCGCATTCGGCCAAGAATCAAGAGTACTACAAGCTCCTTCACGAGAACGACACCTGGAAGCTGTCGCAGTCGCTCAAGGATCGTCCATTTGTGGCCCTGAATCCCACCCGGAAGGCTCAAATGCTAGCTCACCTCTGCAACGATTTGCTGATGAACAAGGCCGTGCTGCGCCAGATCGATGGCAGCCTGGAGACCTGCGCCCAGATGCGCAAGGAGAAGTACATGACGGACATGAAGGTGCGCAAGTACAAGGCCCTGCATATGCGCAAGGCACGCATCGAGGCCTATGAGCGGGCCCAGGCGGAACGGGAGGCGGCCATGCAGGCACTGGTGGCGCAACAGAAGCTGGATGCCGAGCGACAGAAGCAGCAGGCAGCCGAACAGGAGGAGGCGGCCAAGGCGGCAGCAGAAGCGGAGGGAGTCGATGGAGAAGCTGTAGCTAAGATTGCCTCACCGAATGGTGAAAAGCCCCAGGAGGAGAATCAGGAACAGGATGAGCAGGCAACGCCCATCAAGGAGCAGCAGCAGCAGCAGCAACCCATGGAAGTGGACAGCGTGGCGGATGAGGACTCCCTGGTGAGTCCCGCCAAGAGCCTGAACCAGCCGGTGGACGTCCAGTTGACGCCCAGTAAACAGGATATAACCACAACGCCCACCTATCAGCACAACGGTTCCAGCACGCCGACAACCACGCCCAGCGCTGCTGCCGATGCCCTGCTTCACGCCAAGAAGAGTGGAGCCCGCAACTCCATCAACGATGAGCATCATCATCACCATCATCATCCCGACGTGAGCATCATTGATGACGACCTCTCCGATCTTGATTCGGAGATCACCAATGTGGAGGAGGACGAGGACAATCGCTTGAGCGCCGATGAGTTGCAAAAGAAGCTGGACAAGATTGTCCGCGCTTCGCTGAACTGCAAGGAGGCGCTAGAGAAGAGCACCAATCAGCTGAGAGCGGCCTGCTTTGGTCAGGATCGATTCTGGCGTCGCTACTGGAAGCTGCCCAAGGCGGGTGGCATATTCATAGAAGCCTTGGAATCCGCTCAGAATGATATATGCGGCTATCATGAGGCCTTGGAGGGCATGGATGACAAAAAGAAGGAGGAGGAAGGTCTAGGCGCCGACGAGAAGGAGCAGGAGGAGAAGGAACTGGCGGAGAAGGAGAACAGTGCTGAGAATGAGCCAAATCCCGAAGAGGAGCAGCCCATGGAAGTGGATGAACCCCTAGAGGATGGACACCATAACGAGGAGAATCCGCCACAAAAAGACACAAATGTCCATCGCGAGGAGAACAACGAACAGGGTCAAGGCAACAATGTGGACGAAGACGACGATGACGATGATGTCACCGAGATCAATAAGGTGGAGCCTGAGATTGTAGACCTCGGCGATGATGATGACGATGTGCCGCCTCCTCCTCCTCCGCCTCCGCCAAAATTAGAACCTCCACGTCCCGAGATTAAGGTAAAGTCCGAAATGGAACTAATGGGACCGCCGCCAACGACCATGATTGCCACCAAAACGGATTTCGAGGCTGAGATTAAGATACCAGCCATGCCTGGCAACCTAATGCCACCCAACACAGCCACTCTCAACAACAACAACAACAACAACAATAATAACAACAATAGCAATAACAACAACAACAACAATGGAAGCAACAACTGTGATAAGTTGGAAACGGGCTTAAATCTAGGTTTGGCACCAAATGTGATCAAACTGGAGGATCTGAAGAAGGAAGATGATTGCATCATAGTCTCCACAACGAGTATCGATGACACACCCAAATGGTTCTCCATTGTCCGTCGCGAAGTGCCACTGATTAGCGAGCTGCCAGCGGAGGAGGGTGGACAGGTGGCCCAGGAACTCCAGCATGGCTATGCGAATCATAATTGCTCTGCACAGCTTCAGCTGCAGGGTCATCCCTGGGATCTAATCAACAATATGCAATACTATTCCATACCCATGGATGAGTGCAAGGTGGACGCTGGGAAGCTCGGCCACGAGTGCATCTTCTCGCTGAGCGGCCTTGATGAGAAGCAAATGCTGGCCAAAATTGAGGAGTACCACAACAGCAGCAGCAACAGCAGCAAGGTGGAGTCAAAAAACGGTCTGGGCTCTCCTCATCGCCACCATGTCAACGATGAGACTGAAGATGATGAGGAGATGAGGGCCACCAAGCTGAAGGAGATTGTCGCCGGAGGAGAGGCGGATGCTGAGGAGCTAACCGGAGCGAGTAAGGACAAGTTTTTTCGCTTGCGCTCTGATGCACCGCCAGACACGGGAGGAGGAGGAGCCGCAGCAGCACCAGCAGGAGCAGCAGCAGCCGGGGACGTGAAACCCAAGATTGAGCTGCGTCTGGATGAGGCATTGTCGCAGGCGTATTACCACAACATTGCCAACATGTCGCTGAGCAGTGTACAAACGTACATACCCATTGACATACCGCTGCCGCTCTCCATGACCCCGGACGAGCACCGGCTGCTGGAGCAGGTGAAGCTAGCCGGCTTCCCGGAACGCGTTCATGGCGTCTATGTGCCCCGACGACAGCGCTACGGCTGGTGGCAGCTGGACGATGACCAGAAGCTAAGGCAGCTCCTCAAGACCCTGAATCCATCCGGATTGAGGGAACGTGAACTCCAAGAGAATCTCCAGAGGTTCCTCGGCCTGGAACAGCCACTGGGTGTGAGTTATCAACTCAAACCTGATCCTGAGCATCCGGAGGAGTACATGATGCCTGACCAGGCTGGCGATTGGAACCCCAAGGTGGCTAAGCGTGTGGAACTAGCTCTGCTCGAGCAACTGGAGTCGCTGGAGGACAAGGTGGCCAGTGCATCGATGCAACTGAAGAACTGGCAGCTCCCGAATCGGGTTGAAAGCGAACTAACCCTCGATTCCAGCCAAGAGGATGTCGCCGAAGAGGACTTTGTGAGCATTATACCGATGATACGCGAGAGGATTATCGATTTGGAGGCGAATATCGAGCGACGCTACTTGAAGCCACCGCTGGGCTCCCAGACGGGGGACGCTCACTTGGCGGTAATTGCCCAGAATCAGCATACGACGACGCAGACCCAGAATTCGGCCTCGGCGGCAGCATATCTGCTGCAGATGCAGCAGCAGCAGCAACAGCAACAACTGGCCCAACAGCAACAGCAGGCGCAGCAGGGATCAGGATCGGGCACGGGCAACAATAGCCTCAATCCCTCATCGTTCAATGAACGCACCATGGCTCTGGCGGCGGCAGCAGCCGCATCCTCGACAGGAGCAGTGAATCCCAGTGGAGGAGGCGTAACCACACCCTGTGATCCGGAAGCCAACTCGGGCAATGCCTCGCCGGCGAGCAACTGTGACAGCGATCGTGATGAGAAGGTGGAGAATATACCCAAGGGTCTGGTGCAGTGGCGGGATGCAGTGTCACGATCACACACCACCGCCCAACTGGCCATGGCCCTGTACGTCCTGGAATCGTGTGTGGCCTGGGACAAGAGCATCATGAAAGCGGTAAGATAGGGATCGGAGGAGGAACCTCTTTTGATTTGTTATTAGATATACCCCCTGAGACCCCCAGTACCTGCTTGGCACCTATCCACATTATTCTTTTTTTGGGCCCCATTTCCCCCGTTGTTTTTGGCTGCACTTACTCATTAACACCATTGCCCATTAACACCTCACATATTAACACTTGTTACACACATTTTAACTAAATTAACCACCACTAACACACACAACAGTTGAAAATAGTACGGAAAAAGGGTTGTTTATATGATTTTTAAAGGATTATTTTTTATAATTTTACCAAAATCTAATTTATGTGATAGTTTTGCTTTAAAATTATTTAAATTTTGATTTTAAAATTGATTTCGATGGTTTTTATAGGGAATTTAAAGCAAATCAAATATGAAGAATTATTAATTTAATTAAATTGATTCACTTTAGCATTGTAAAATTATAGTTTTATCTTGGAATATAACCGAATCATAAAATTATTTTTGAAGCTGCAATTGAGATCTTGAAAAGGTTTTAAAATTTGAATGGTTTTTTCTTTGTAACCATTTATAAAACCTTTTAAATAGTGAAAAATTCTACAACAATATTTATGATAGTATAAATTCTTTTGATCTATTAGTAAAACGTGTTTCTTTTCATTTAATAACAACTAATATCTAGTTGAGTAAATCGTGCCCTTTTTCCTCTCATTTTTTGTAGTCTTCCAAAGTAGTTTAAACCCAAAATGTAGAATTTATTAGATAAAATATACACTAACTTGCTACATTTTAACTTAAAGCCTGAATATTAATTCAAAATTACGTTTTTTTTCATTGTTTCTTTGTCTTCTTCGGATGGTTTAATTTTTGTTAATTTCCTTAAATAACAAAAACAAAAAACTGTCTCTTGCTCTGAATGCTCGACTTGTTTGTTGTTGTTCTTTTGTGGTGTTTCATGGTGTTTTGAAAAAAAAAACTAAACAAAACTGCTTTCATACTTACACACACACACACATACCACATACACTACATGCATATAACATCACATACACACATGTCTTTAACATGAATGCTTATGTTCTGCCCGTTACCGTTACCCGTTACCGTTACCAAAACCGAAAAACCGAATTTCCACCTCGACTGTTTTTCCCACCTCCACCATACAACACCTTTCCCCACCCCAAAATACCGTTTCGAACTCCAAATTATATTGTACGAATTCGAACTGGGCATCCGAAAAGTATGCAACAAGAAACAAGTCCAGCAAGAAGGAGAAAAAGGGCAGCGCCCAAAAGCAGGCAACGAAGCGCAAGCAGCCCAAAAGAAGCAAGAAAAGAAACAGATGCAGGAAAATGAGCCAGAGATGAAAAGCAATGGGAAAACCCCCAAGAAAACGCCCAAGAAGAAGTCAACCCTAAGCATCAAAATCAATCTAAAGGCCCTGGAGCAGCTGGAACAGCAAAAATCGAACCTTAAATCCAACCCAAACCCATCCCAAAACCAATCCTCTACTTCATCCTCATCCCCGGACTCCGACTCGGACTTTGCCACACCACAGACGCCAACGCCAACGCCAACGCAAACTCCGACCAAGAAGGATAATAAGAGACGCTCCTCCTCCTCCTCAAACTCTAGAAAATATTCGAAATATTCCTTACAGAACTGCCAGTTTTGCACATCCGGCGAGAACGAGGATAAGCTACTGCTGTGCGATGGCTGCGACAAGGGCTATCACACGTATTGCTTCAAGCCCAAAATGGACAACATACCCGATGGCGATTGGTGAGTATAGCCCAAGCCGATCTATATCTATCCTCCTCCTGCTCAGTCATCCCTCACACATTAATCCGCGTTGTCTTGTTGAGCGTTTTATTGATCGTTGATCGTTATAACCGTCGTTGAGAATACTGTGTGTGGCACTCTCTCTCTCTCCCCCCCTATATCTCTCTGTTCCTTAACTCCCCTGCTCTTGAATATAATCTAGAAAGAATTGGTGTAATCTCTGGTTGTCTCTTCTTCCCCTTTCCAGGTACTGCTACGAGTGCGTCAACAAGGCCACCAATGAGCGCAAGTGCATCGTTTGTGGCGGCCATCGTCCCTCGCCCGTGGGCAAGATGATCTACTGTGACTTGTGTCCACGAGCCTATCACGCCGACTGCTATATACCGCCGCTCCTGAAGGTGCCGCGCGGCAAATGGTATTGTCATGGCTGCATCTCTCGTGCTCCACCGCCCAAGAAGCGTAGCACAGGCGGCGGTGGTAGCAGTAGCAGTAGCAGCAAGTCCAGGAGAGATCGGGACAGGGACAATCGAGAACGAGATGGTGGAGCGGCGGCAGCCAAACGAAGTAGCAAGCCGCCGCATGGAGGAGCCATGGAAATGCAGCAGCAGCAGCAACAGCAGCAGCAGCTACAGATACAGCCACTGGCAGCAGGGGATTCCCATGCGCATCAGCAGCATCATCATCATCACCATCATCATCATCAGTCGCTAAATTCCTCGCACGATGAGTCCATGAATTCGCTATCGACGGCGGCACCGCTTAGGTGAGTGTGTGGGGGGCCTGCGGGCGGCTGAGGGGGCGGCGGTGGACGACAAGGTCCCGGGTCCAGTTTATAATGCAGCTCTGCCTCTGCCTCTGCCTCTGCAGTCCGGCGCATTCGGTGGCCTCGGTAACAACCTACGATGACCAACAGCAACAGCAGCAGCAGCAGCCGGGGGCGGCGCACATCAACGTCAACACCAATTCGGTTGATGGCAGCAGCCGCTTTCAAACCTCAAATAACAACGGGACGGAGGATGTGCTGCCCGGCTATCCAGTAGCTGCAGCCTATCCATCATTAGTTGGCGCTGGTAGCTTCTCATCGGCGGCGGCGCCAGTGCCGCCAGCCATGCAATTTGCCATGTCGCCGCGTGCTGTTACGCCGACGCGTACCAGAACACCAACGCCGACCCCGGTGCAAACGCCACCGCCGCCTCCACCCGGGCCCCTGCAGCCGCCGCTGATAATGCAGCAGGCTTCGCCCACCACCCATGCCGCCGCCCTCCATGTAACCGCCTGCCAGTCGCCGCCCCAACATCAGCATCATCAGCAGCAGCAGCAGCTGATGACCATGCCCTCGCCGCCAGCAGGAGGAGCCGGTGCAGGTGCAGGTGCTGGTGCAGGCACACAAATGTCACCGCCGCCCATCAACATTCATGCCATGCAGGAGGCCAAGGAGAAGCTGAAGCAGGAGAAGAAGGAGAAGCATGCCACCAAGAAGCTGATGAAGGAGCTGGCCGTCTGCAAGACCTTACTAGGGGAAATGGAGGTGCGCTTTTCACAAGAGAAACCTTTGAAAGATTTAAACTTATAAGGAATCTTATATTAATTGCAGCTCCATGAGGACTCTTGGCCATTTCTGTTGCCAGTGAACACCAAACAGTTTCCCACATATCGCAAAATAATCAAATCTCCCATGGATTTGTCCACCATCAAGAAGAGATTAATGGATTTGAGGTAAATGATCACCTAATATCCTAATCCTAATACAGAAATACTAATCAAACCCTTTTCTTATCTATTCAGCTACAAAACCCGCGAGGACTTTTGCGTGGATGTTCGACAGATCTTTGACAATTGCGAAATGTTCAATGAGGACGATTCACCTGTGGGCAAGGCAGGACATGGTATGCGCAAGTTCTTTGAATTGCGTTGGAACGAACTGACGGACAAGCACTCCTGATCCTGTGGCAATGCCATTGCTGGAACAGCCACACATCCCATTGAGATGGTCACCTTGATAGCTACTTCGCAGGAGAATGAGGATCAGGATGAGCAGAAGAAAGCCATCGCAGAGGCGACTTCAACAACTACAACAACAACAAAAACAGCAGCATTAACAGAAGCAGCACAATTTTGGTCAAGAGATTAGAGATTAGGTTTAAGGAGAAAAGTAGCAGCAGCAGCAGCAGCAGAGAATGTACATAAATAGGGGGATTACAGATGTAGAAATAGGAAGCACACAATTAATATATAATATATATATAGATATAGTAGATATATATACAAGCGAGAGTATTCAACGTCCTACCACGTTCAAGCTTCGAAATCACCACAGCCAAGGCGAACAAGCGAGCAAGCGACAAATTGTATTTAGTTTTTTATATAAAATGCTTAAACAATAACTATTTAATTATACATGAAACCTAATCGTAAAGCATAAGAAGCCATTTACAAACAGTAGGAGGAGACCGCTGACACGCTGACGCTGAGCACGTACAAAAGTCTGTCTCCCCATTTCCAAAACCCACACGATCGATCCACAGTATTTTTTTCGGGCACAAAGTATGCGTTTTAAGTTTAGAAAAAGGATCAACGAAGAGGACGCGCCACTGCTCATTTAAGTTTTTAACATGTATTTTGTACTTATAAAACATTTGTATCTAAAAACGCGTATATATATATATATATATATTAAAGACTAGAGCTAAACGATTATACTCGAAAAGGAAGTAAAATGTAAATGGAAAGCAACAAAAATTGATTAAATGTATTAAATTATTTATACCGTGTAAATTGTCCCTTCAATTGGAACACAAGATGCATTAAATAAGTTTCGGAGGGATCTCGAATCTCCGATACTCACTGTACTGTAGTCTTTTGGTAACTCTTTCAATCGAAAACCGTAAAACTTTTTGGCAAATCGCAAAAATACAAAATCAAAAATCAAATTTGAATCGAAATCGCTAATTTTAAATTAAAATAATCAAGGTAGACGAAGGGAGCAGAGAGAGAGAGAGAGAACCCAGGAAGGAAGTATTAAAAGGGGTTCACATATCCGGGTTTGTGTTATAAAACCTAGTGTTATAATGCCTACAAGCTTGTGTAGGCAAGTGTTATAAAGTGTGTGACCGTTATAAGAATTATTTTCAGTACACTGCACATTATAACACTAAGCATTATGACACTGGTAATCCTGTCTGTAAGCATTATGACACTGGGCATTATGATCCTAAGCGTTATAATACTGGGCATTATGACACTTACCCGACATATCCATAGCGGGATTTAAAGCGCAACTTCTGGATTGAGAAGGACAGTATTAGGAGGCAGCCAGGCATCTTTTTTAGCTGTAAATATAGAGAGGATATAGTCGCATATATTAGACTCGAGACTCACTTGATCGATGACAAAAAATGTTAAATATATATACATAAACTATATATATACAAACACACAGAGAAAAAAGAGAAGAAAAATACCAATTAGCAAAAGCAATGATATTTACATAACATTTTTTGAATAAATCAATCGAAAACTAATTTGCAGTGCAGCACAATAATAATTGAAAAATGGATAAACAAAAGGGGCGCGAAGATAATAATTCAAGAGAAAACGAAAACCGAACAGAACTACCTACCAATTACAGATACCAGATACCAGATACAGATACAGATACAGATACACAGATACCGAATTAGTTGGGAATTATAGTTTGTAAAGAGTGTTGAGAGAGCATATACATATTATATTATTTGGAACCGTACTTTACCACAAAGAGATACTAATGAGTTGTTGCTTGTGTAAATAGGAATCCTCCGCATGCATGTGTACATTGTATATAAGAAATATATATATATATATAGCCTAAGATCGAAGTGAAGCATGATGTTATTGGCATTCATACAGTTGCAATAATTACAAAAACAGAAAACAGAAAGCTAAAAAAATAAATTCATGGAAAAAGGATGATCCCTAAGCCATAAACAATAAACTGCATGAAAAATATAAAGGAAACTTGATTTTGTATTTATTATGTGTGTGTTCGTGGTGATACAGATATATAGATATATATATGATATATATATATTTTAAAATATATAACGAAAACTATGCATAATATGTGAACGTAACTCTTACTCATTAACAACACACAACAGCAACAAGAAAATATTTAAACCAAGGATGAGATATACTCGATAACCAAGCATCCGTAAAAATGATTGTGAGGGGAATAGCCACGAAAAAAGAAAATCATATAAAAACAAAAACATAAAAAAAACTGATAAAAAATTACACTGAAAATTACAAACAAAAATTCATACATTTTGGTGGGGCTACATTTTCGACATTTGTGCACATGGAAAATATATAAGTAAATCATATAAAACTTAACAATTATGGAGTTTTTCTTAAAGAGGGTAAAGAAGCGTCGACCATAACTAAGCGTAAAATATTTGCGTTCTTTGAATCGGTATTTACCTATATTTTTATAAGATTAAAAAATTCATAACTAAGCCAAAAATGCATTAATTTTAATTCGGAAAACTGTCCTATGCTAGTTTTTAAGAGGTAAACAAATCTGCATACTCAGTTCAAAACCTAAAATTTTTGCCATTTTTCGGAAATTTTAATGATGTAACCCCTTATCATTTTTTAAAAAAATCGACAAAAATTGAAAAAATTTATTTTCTTTAAAATAAAGCTAGATCGACTCGCCGTTTAATTCTGATCAAAAATATATATGATTTATGGGGTCGGAAATGGTTCCTTCACTGCTTTGTAAGCGTGTGACTAAAATTAGATACCCTGCAAGGTTATAAGAATTAAAAAATAACCAAAAACTCATCCCAACTGACAGACCAAAGCAGATCTCATAAACCAGAGAGTGATGTCTGGTTTTTTTACAATCTTTTCTTATTTTTTATGACTTTCCCAAACCAATTTAAGGTCTTAAAATCAATCAAATATCATCAGAAGTAGGCCCCATATAAATCATGTCTTTTGTGTTAAATTTGAATTTGCTGACAGATTGACCAAGCAGAAGGATACCCTAGATCCCTTCTGTTTCTTTATGTAGGTGTGAAAGCTTCCCTTCTTTTTAGCCAGAATTCTGGAATTTTAGTCTGTGGGAACTCCAGAGAGGTGTTAATATTTTTTAGGTGCTTATAATTCCTAGTAATCAGCGCTCAAAAAGCCGACAAGCTTGTCTTGGCTTTTGACAAAGTATCGATGGTTTTTTTCTTTTTTGATTTTTCTTTTTCGGTTTCGGTTTTCAGTTCGGTTGGGAGTATTGACAGTTGGAAACTCGAAACGCTTTAAAAATTGCTGATTTATGTAATTATTCGCGGCGACAAGAATTTCGTGCGCAGCCCCAGCAGCGAACAAAATAAGAAAAGAGTTTCAGAGGAGCCCCCCAGAAGATTGGAGGAGGTAGGAGAGGAAGGAGGACCACGACTGGCGGCAGATTGGGTCCGCAGCTCCAGCTCCACATCCAACTCCAGCTCCACATCCAACTCCAGCTTCAACTTCAGCCACATTATCAAAACATCATGGAAGATGACCAAATTAACTGAGCTCTCCAGCCAACGACGACATACTGGGAGGAAACACTGAACTAAAATTACTAAAATATGTTATGAATATTATAATAAATTAAATAAAGTATATACCTCCTTCAATATTTTAAAATTTTTTAGTTTGTTAATAGTAGTTTGTAGTAGTAGAAAATCAAGTATTAAAATACTTAAACCATTAAATAAAATAAAAGCAACTAAACTATGGCACTTTTGCTCTGATATCTTGCATCGCAGGATGCAAGGATATATATTAATAAATAGAGTAAATATTAAAATACATAAGAAAAAGGTATGAGTTTATTGTCCTTCCTTACTTGTTATGTAGTTTAAAGGCACTCCAGACTAAGTAAATATTAGTATTTCACCCTTAAAAACAAAAGGTAATTTCAAATACGGGTAAAACACAATAATAATATTAATATATTTGTAGGATATATAATTTCTTCAACTTTTAGGATCCTTTTTTCCTCTGTGCAGATATGGTGGACCTCTCTGCACTGCAATGGCGACTACTTAGCGGGGCTACCTGGTCCAGAACCCTTTTTCTTTGACCCCTTCTCCCTCGGATGCCCCTGCCCCCGCCCCTGTCTGCTGTCTGGTGCATGCTGCTGGAGGGCAATAAAATTGACTCCATCGAAATTAAGAACGAACCAAAGAAAATTGTATTGAAAGTTGGGAAGTGCAGCGGAGATGCGGAGGTGAAGGCAACTAATTTAGTGCCCAGCACCGAAACGAGTTTGCTGCCGTTGCATTCGATCCTCAGCCATATATACATATATATTATATATATATAAAACCCCACTCCAGACCGTTCAGATATGCCTATATCCCAAATATATACATATGCATAAATACATATAGAAGAAACCGTCTCCGATTGTGGCGACGTTGCCCAAAATGGAGATTTTTTTTCCGAGAGAGATCTTGGGTCCCATTTTTCAGACAGATTTTGACTTTGGCTGCCTCTTGATTGGGACATTAATTAAGACACAAATTGCTATACCAAAATGTGAACAATATATATTATATATATATATATATATATACATGCATTCCGGAATAAGTACCACAGAGGAGGACCACCACCACCACCCCTTGCATATTTATGCAGCGCTCCAAATTAATGACAGCTCAATGGGGACAGAGCTCTTAAAAACGGTTCCACTAATTAACCAATGAAAGTTGAGAGCTTAAGGAGGGACTAATTTAATTTTAATCATGAATAAAGCATGAGCTGGGTCATTTTATTGGGGGGAAAATGTATCTGTGGGATGTGTTTAGTACATTTTAGGTATATTTACTTTCAGTGAGGAATTCGAGTCAGACTTGTTTAGGGTGAATCTTTTTATTGGAGGTATTACTGAAAACATTTACATTTATTAAATTTTATTACTTATGAACAATTTAAGAAAAGTAAAATTATAACAGTTAAATCGCCTACTGTTATTTTAGAAGGATGCCTATTTATTACTCAACTTCTCTATAAAGCACACTTGCAAGGGTATTATAATTTCAGTCAGAAGCTTATAATGCAGTGAAGGAGTCATTTCCGACCCCATAAATCATATATATTCTTGATCAGAATTAAACGGCGAGTCGATCTAGCTTTATTTTAAAGAAAATAAATTTTTTCAATTTTTGTCGATTTTTTTAAAAAATGATAAGGGGTTACATCATTAAAATTTCCGAAAAATGGCAAAAATTTTAGGTTTTAAACTGAGTATGCAGATTTGTTAACCTCTTAAAAACTAACATAGGAAAGCAGTCCGAATTAAAATTAATGCATTTTTGGCTTAGTTATGAGATTTTTAGTTTTTGATGTGTAGGAAAAAATTGTCATATAAAATTATAGATAAATATATCTGTTCAAAGAATGCTACTATAATTTCAGTCATTTTAAGTTTTTAAAATGTTAAACTGAGTATGCAGATTTATTGTCCTATTAACAGAAAACATAGGAAAGCAATCCGAATTAAAATTAATGCATTTTTGGATTAGTTATGAATTTTTTAAACTTTGATTTGAACAAAAAAAGGTCATAAAATTATAGAAAAATGGTATTCTAATTTCAGTCAGAAGCTTGTAATGCAGTGAAGGAGTCATTTCCGACCCCATAAATCATATATATTCTTGATCAGAATTAAACGGCGAGTCGATCTAGTTTATTTTAAAGAAAATAAATTTTTTCAATTTTTGTCGATTTTTTTTAAAAATGATAAGGGGTTACATCATTAAAATTTCCGAAAAATGGCAAAAATTTTAGGTTTTAAACTGAGTATGCAGATTTGTTAACCTCTTAAAAACTAACATAGGAAAGCAGTCCGAATTAAAATTAATGCATTTTTGGCTTAGTTATGA